AAACTCAAGTGAAACCACGAGCGGCAGGCGAGACTCAGCCTCGTTCCCAGGGTCTCTCATCTCCCCACCCAAGAGGCGCGAGAAGTCCGCGAATGCCTTGTTTCACGTGCAGTTTGATGACGGCTCTCAACGCGATCAGTATTTTTACCAGATGAGGATTTTGCCTGCTTGAAGCTCACCAGGAAACAGGTACGATAGTGTTTAACTAAGCTACTGGGCCTTGTTGTTCAAAGGGTGGATAACGCTATCCACTGGATAGCGCCGATTTATCCGGTGGATAGCGTTATCCATCCTTTGAACAACTGGGCCTTGGTCAAAGATGAAATCAAACGTAAGAAATAAAATTATTAAACAAAAATTAAGAGGTCCAATGAGAAGGGTGCGAAAGGGACACGAGGCTCTCACCCAATTAATAATGTTGAGCTTCTAGCACCTTTATTCACACATGCTTGTTTACAGTAAGGGATGAGAAGGTGATTTTACAAGCTTCCCAACTACTTTTTGTATGAAGTCGCGATTCAGTCACTCCCGTGAAGCAGTTACATTCTCACAGAACTGAATACCATATGTTTAACCCAGTTCAAAACTGAGGAAAAACTCGTACATTTCATGCAAAATTGTCAAAAGCAACAATCAGTACCACATGAAAGTACTTCTCGATAGCTTTCATTTGAATGGTCACACACGAGGGTTTCACAGACTTAACTGAAAAGGTTACGACTAAAGGTTATTGACTAAGATTTGACTCTGGGAGTGAAAGTGTTAACGGCAGAAGTATTTTCAGGGACACCCAACGACACAATTCTCCTGCAGGTGTCGGAACGTCGTTTTTACGTCAGTAATTGTGCATTTAGTGCAGTTTAAGGTATCAGTATACCCCAAATGACCATCATGCGTTGGCGCTGTTTTACGGTCAGACGTTTAACAAAAACCCCAATAAAGTATATATTTCTTGAAAGCTTAAGAATTGTAGATTACGAATATGTATTCATTTGAAGTAAAAAGATTAACGTGTTTCGAATATAGCGCTCAATTTCAAAAAGTATATCGGTCCACAGATCGAGTTCGTTTCCGGCCGGAATTGAACGGGAAAAGGCGAAAAACATCGCTACGTGTTCTTGACACCTTTTTCTAAAAAACTGTGTCGGGGAATTTTGATTACTTGTCTGGTTAGCTTTTAACACACAGTTAAACTTCGAGGGTTGACAAAACATGCATTCTCTGTACGAAAATACTCATAACTTTTGAAGGAGGGAAAAAAATAAAATTCCCCGACACAGTTTTTGTATCAGACTATTGGAAAACATTCTCTCCAAATTGCAGCGAAAAAGGTTGAAAATTCGTTGCAAACGAACTTGAAACGTGCGCTTCATTCGCTGAAATTTTAGTTTTGAGAAACGGGGGAAAACATGTTTTTGGGCGTTCTTCCGGTCTGATGAGATTAAATACACAATACGTGTGAAAATAATTATGCGTTGATCGATAAAGAGAAGGCTCGTCTTACTTTAATTAACAACAGAGTTCGTATTGAATACAAATGACCTCAAATGCGCGCTTCTTATGGCTAGAGAAGAAAGTTCTCCTCTCACCGATCGTGCTACAAGTAAATTAAGAGTTTATGGCTTCAGTTTTCCCTCGATTTAGCTTCTCTGTGGGATATTCGCCCACATGGTAAATTGCAACCGCGAGCGATTTTCAAGTTGTCCTAATTATCAGTGATGCGATCCGGTGTCATTTGAGACCTGGTTGAGACTATAGTGCTTCAGCTCAATTCTCACCGAACATTCTCACCGAACAATTTCCCATTTCGGTATATTCTTACTTGAAAACGCGGACACAGTCTCTTATGTTTCTACGAACATTGCAAGATGCGGCTTTCGAATTTCGGGTGAATCCACAAACATGTCGGCCCTCGTGTTACGTGACTTTTAATACGTACATGTTGACAAACTGTTGACGTCTCTCGATTAGAAATAATTAATGGCGAGAATCGTTTTTTCTTCATAACTTTCTTTAGAAGCAATCTTTTTTCGTGAAACTTTTGGAAATGAAAGGTTTTGATGTAATCTATCTGAAAATAACAAAAAGTAAAATCTTGCAAAATGGTCAAATTTGGGGTATACTGATACCTTAATGACTTATTTTTAAGCGCTAAGAAAAATGTATCTGTTCGGATACGTTAGCTGAACTTTCAAACTTCAGAAAACTTTAGGAATTAAAAGCTGAATTTGTCTTTCCGAAAATCCTAGCTGACCTGTTTTTGAATCCAAAACGACATTTTTATATTTCCGAAAACAAAAGGCATTACTTTTCCCATATTTAGAAAGTTCGAGACGCCATTTCCTTAACCAAATATTTGAGGCGATAAAAGACTTTTCGAACAGATATTCCACCGAAACGATCCGTTGGGTGCCCCTGTCTTTTGGCAAAATCAGTTTTTATATAAGGTACATGTATTATTGACGAGCTGAAACGTTTTTGTGCGAATAGCGAGCTGTAGTCACTTTCTATTCTCCCCTCCGAAAATCTACCAGTGAACATAACAGTATTACAAATCAGTTAAAACATTTTTTATATTCTTTCTTTTATCTTTTGACAGGTGGAAGCCTTCCAGGAGCAGCAATTAATTCAGTTGTATCAGCCACTGAGGCAATCTCATTCCCAGAGCCCTCGTTACCTTTATCCAGTTAAGTGAAACAGGAAAACGAGATACTCTAGCCCCGGGGGGGGGGGGGTACTCCCTATAATGGACTATACGGGGAGGCTCCGCCCGAAAGGGGCACCTTTTCAGACTGGAGGTATATAAAAGGGTAGGGATTTCACGAGTTGGATGTATAGGAAAGGGTAGGAATTTCACGAGTTGGAGTATAGAAAAGGGTAGAGATTTCACTAGTTGGAGTATAGAAAACTGTCATTTAGGTATGAGGTGGACTGCAGGTTTGAAGTTCTTAGCCATCGTAAGACAGCTTCCTTCCACTTCCTTCTGGGGATATATATTGTTCATTAAGTTCATTCCAAGGGTATAGAAAAGGGATGCAGTGTTTCTACTGTAGGTATGTGAAAGGAGTACCATTTTCCATGGAAGCTAAGGTATATGAAAGGGGTACCTTTTCTGTCAAAAATGGTATATAAAAGGGTAAGGGGTTGGACCTCTGGGCGGAGCCTCCCGGTATAAAACTTTTTTGAGTACCCCCCCCCCCCAGGACTCTAGCTATAGCTGGCATAAAGCGTACTGACATGACATGTGCAGTAAAACCGGAGTACAAAAATCCTGTGTGTTCCTATCCAAGGCTTAATTCAGTTTTCTTTAGAGAAATTAGGAAAAAAGAAATTGAAAAAAGAGCAATTCAAAGGGACCCACACATGCGCAGTAAAACCGGAAGTCCAAGAATCCTGTCATGGCAGAACGCTTTATTCCAGAGTATCTTGTTGCTCATTCCACTGCTGGATAAGGGTAACAAGGGCTCTGGGAATGAGATTGCCGCAGAGGCAGTAAACGTTTAAGGTGAAGGTATCAATAAACAAAACCTGTGGGCATTATGTTGCATTCTTATTTTATTTAGTAGTAGTAGTAAATCTTTATTTAAAGGGACACTGTCCTGATTTTAGCATGATTTTGGGAAGCTCAGAAACATATCTAGATCATAGGAGGTTGATCAATAATGGTTTGATTCTGTAGAATAACACTCGACAAATGACAGGAACCCATTAGGAAGTGAGGATTACGAACGACAGCGAGGATGGAAATGGATTGCAATATGGATTTTTGAAAAAAACTCAGGATGTCAGTTTTCAAAGTTTCAAATTTGGCTCGGAAATCTTTGAAATTTTGCAAACATTTTGTTGCAATATGGAATTTCTTGAAGAAATTGCTTTTTATCATTTAGTTAGAGTTTATTAAGTTCTTATTTCATAGATTTAGGGACCATTTCATGCATTTATAACAGTTTTGAGCAAATACGCCGGGACAGTGTCCCTTTAACCAGGGTGACCATTCAGCTCTAGGCTGGTATCCAAAAATACTATGCTAATTACAATAGGAAGCTAATAATTACAATAATTGTTTTTATACACGACCCCACCAGCTCTGCTGATTTTTTCAATCGTGTTTAAATAAAGCATTTACTTACTTGCTTACTTACTAAGCTATAAAAAATACTATGATAAAAATACAATACTAATAAATTGGCTGTGATCAAATGATTAAACGTTCATCTACATCTATTTAATGAACCACGATGAACAATAACCACATCTTTTATAACACTAATGATTAGTTTTCAAATCACAGCCACTAATTTTTGTCAAAGTGTGTGGACGTTTCGACCAGTCTCACTGGTCATCTTTAGAAAAAGCTTAATTTGTAGTTGCTTGGAGCCCAAGTCACTCGCAGCCAACATTTTTTTTTGTTGCTTCATTAATACCCTCCCTGTAAGGTAAAGTTGCACTCGGGCCAAACTGGCCCACACTGCCGCGTGGGAAGCTTATCCCGGTTTCTTTAGCATGAAGCCGACTATAGGGGTAATGGTACTCCCCATGGATGGGATGCTAGTCCATCGCAGGTTACCCAAGGGTTTCATTAATTTTTGAAGTAAGCGGAATTTTGTAAATGCACAAGCTTGGAAATGCAATTTCCAGCATTCTGGGAGTCAAATCTAGCGCTATATATGACAATTTGTATCGATCACAATAGATCTCATGTATTTTAAACAATCTTGCAATAATATATTATTCTATGTGAAGTTTAAAGTTTAAAGACTTACACTGTTACAGTCACTGTTTTTTTCTTTCATAAATCTTATAAGTAAACTCTCAGAAGGCCAGAAGGCTTGATTAGTAAGCGGCGGTAAGAGGCAATGTAGGCGGCGGTAGACCGCCGGTAGCCGGCTTCTAATGAAACCCCTGGTTACCCCCAGCATTTTGTTGCAGGTACCCATTTATACTCCTGGGTGGAGAGAGGCACTATGAGAGTAAATGTCTTGCCCAAGAACACAATGCAATGACACAGGTCAGGGCTCGAACCCAGACCACTTGATCCAGAGTCCAACATGCTAACCATTAGGCCACAGCATCTCCCACACCCTCCCCTCCCCTGTGTAAGCTCATAACACTCTTCATGTTTATTGATAGACTAGACTAGACTACGAGTAGTCTAGGTGTGAAGAGTTAACCGAATTCATATTTATACAGGATAACCCATCAGTGCTATATACTAGGAGCACTGCGTTATCATTGGGGTCCTGTTATAATAAAAACAAAACAAAAACAACAAAAAGCATTAAAATACTAGGGCAGCCTTACAGGATAAAAATAAGATACTAGTAAAAGGTAAAGTAAAGGTAAGGTTAGGTCATAATAATTATTTTCATTAGGCTACGCCAAAGATTCCTATTTAGCCATCGATTTGGTTACTTAATTTTCTATTTCATAAATTATTTGACCTTCATGTTTTTACTAGACTATAGCTACTGGTATTCCATTTTAGCTTTCATTCCTACATTTTACACTGGTCTACAGTCACTGAGGCATTTTTGGCAAAATATACAATACACAGATCTCTTCCGGGTCTGCTTTACTGTGCAAATCAGAAAAGCATGAACACTACGCTTGGATTTTCCTTTGCCAAAAATTGGTCTATTTTATTTCCCTGTATTTATTTTATTGCTATTTAGCTTTTCTATAAAACAAAGTGTAAATTTGAGTTTCCTGACTATTCTTCTTGCGGTTTTATCATGTCAAAGTTAAATCAAAGTGTTCACGCTTTTTAGTACGTACCGGGAAAGTAATAGTAATCAAAAGGACAAGTTCTAATCAGTTGGTTCCCAAGAGGAACCAATTTCCTGCTGAAAATGCAAGGAGCCTTGCCCGAGAGGATTCCATTTTTTCTTTATTTCACAAAGGCGAGGGTAATTCACACCATAGAAATTCTCACCCCAGTTCTTAAGATGACGGTCCATATAGTTCACATAACTGCCAAGAGAGCATCCAGATTCCCTCACAGCATCGTATGTCGATGTAGCAAATTTTAATACCTCCTCCCTCTGAACAGTGTTTTTTAGCTGAAACCTGCCATAGGTATAAAAGCTGTACTGTGCGGAACGGAAAGGGAAAGCGGTAGATGTCGCAGAATGCTGTGCAATATTACCACCCATGTGAGTAAACTCTAGAAGGCAATGTGGTTTGATGTCAAGATCAGCAAAATATTTGGCCAAGGATGGAGACAAGGAGTCGATCATTACCCCTTTGATGTAAATGGGTTCTACCTCTTGGTGGACGAAGCCATGACGTTTGCTGTATTCGGTTGAAAACTGCAGATATGAAGTAAACGTCTGAGGTTGTGTTTCTGCTGGTGGGTGGAGATTCTCAAGGCTGGATTGCACCTTGTCTTCGTGAATATCTGAGTATACAGCATCCAGGGTCAACATTTTCTTCCCAAAGTAACCATGGAGAGCCATGTCAAGGTTGAGCTCTTTAGGAAACTTGTTTAAATTCTTGCCAACTGCATTAAGCCCTTGTTCACTTTGATCCTTGCTGTCATAAATGAGACGCGTCCAGATAAACTGCTTTGGTCGCGGGCACACTTCTAAAGTAACATCAACTAAGATTCCAAAATTGCCGCCTCCACCTCCCTTCAAAGCCCAAAAGAGATCCTCGTTTTCCTCTGCCGATGCTTTCACAAGTTTGTTTCCATCAGCTGTAACCATGGTGAATGACAGGGCCTTGTCACATGCCAATCCGCCATACCCACGTGACAGCATGCTGTACCCACCACCAAGAATGTACCCTCCGATGCCTACTGCAGGGACACACCCACCCACCGCAACATAGCTAGTATCATCTAGCGCAGAATACACATCTCCCCAGCATGCTCCAGCTTGAACAGTAAGCATGTTCTCCTTAAGCTGAACTTGATCCATATTTTTAAGAGAGATGACAAATCCATTACTGTCAGTGGTAGAGTAACCAGCGAAGGAGTGCCCCCCGGATTTGACAGCAACTGGAGTATTGGTCTTGTGAGCGATCTGCAGACAACGCTTGATGTCATCAGCGTTATAAGGTAAGGCAACAAAGGCTGGATGTGAGGTACTAAAAGCAGGGTTGTAAATCTTAACCGCTTCCTTGTAAAGGTCCGACTGCTCGGGAGTCACTGAGATATCTTTGAGCTGTTCAAGTGCTTCGCTCACTGAACTCCCTCCATGCATCATTCTAATCATTGCTGTGTTCTTGACAAACCTTTTCTGGTGTAATCCATAGCGTACAAAACGAAAACCTCTCGACAAATACATTTTGTACATTCCGTAACGACCGTAACGACCGTAACTCCAAGTGAAAGTTTCTTTCTTACATGTACTTCCGTCTTCCGTGATGACGAGATGAATACTTTGTGTATGATCACTTGAAGTGTACCAATCAGTGCCCAGTCTCTTTAGAACAAATTTGTCAAGACCCGAATTTGCGAGTTCCTGTTTCCTTTCCGAAAATCCTAGCTGGATTAGATTAGCCAGCGAGCAAATTCCTATAAAAGTCTATAAGTTATTTTACAGGTTTATTTACAGTTTTGCAGCCGAGAAAGGACAAGAGATGACTGGGGATGAGTCACGGTAGTGCATTTAATAGGGCACTGGGAACTAACAAGAACCGAAGAACGACCCATGAATCCGTGCGAGCTCAGTTTCAATATGGCGTCCTGGTGAATGAGTTTTGTCGAAATTATAAAAGCTGTTTCCACATTTCTCCTAATCATTTGGGGTGATCAGAACAGCACCACAGGTAAAATACATCCTTGAAAATACGTTGTGGACTTTATCTAGGTTTTTACAGGGATACAGTCACAAATCTGTATAAAATACAAACATACAGAATCGTGGAACATTGAATCGAGTTTATGAAGCTTTTCTTTGTGAACTTCCAATTCAATGGAGTTCTTTCGATTTTTTAAATGAATGTAACTTTTAAGATCATTTTAATTAACAATATAAACGATCTTGCTTATCATATACTAGTATTTCCACTATGCTGAATGTTATGTTCATAGCTACTAGCTAAGTTAATAATTAACTTAGCTAGTAGCTAAATACTAAAGGTTAGGATCATAGATTGAACCCTTTGCATTTACATATTTTGTGAGTTTGTTTATCCAACTAATCCTGGGTATATTCCATGTACATCCCACACCAAAGATATGCCAAGGTTTTCAAAATTCTACACCAGTTATCCCGAAGTAGGTTATCTGCCTCTTGTTATCTGCATGGCAGCTTACACATGCCGATATATTCCAAAGACTACGATTGTACTCCAGTTTGCTGAAAACGTTTGAAACCCATGCCGAAGATCTTTGGCGTAACATGAGATAAAATGCACCCTGGAGACAACTAAACTATTACAGCAAGGCGCCCAAAAATGTGACCACTTTTAATTAATTCACATTCTTTCATGCGCATATACTATCCAATCAGAAGTCAAGGATAGCTATTCTTCGGCATTCTGATTGGATAGTCTGCACGCATGAAAGAATGTGAATTAATTAAAAGTGGTCACACTTTTGGGCGCCTTACTGTAAACTAAATGATGGAAATTTAGTTTGATTTTGTTTGATTGACTTCATCATGCATTAATATTAGTAAGGCTTTTAAACTGTCAGTATTATTATTTATTATCCGACTCCACTCAGTATAGTACAAATAAGGCGTGAAACGAGTACATATATCTCATGATATTTGTACTCCAGGAGACCGGTTAAACAGGTTTTCTGTAGTCTTCGTATCTGCACGCAATGCAAAACACAGTAAGTCTGGATTTTGGAAAAGAAAATCGTTAGATAATAAAATCAATCTCTTATTAGACATTTTAGTGTGTAGTATCGCTGTACAATTTTACTTGTCATTATTTTGTATTTTGACTCGCCAAAATACTGCAACTAGTCTCGTAAAAATATACCGCCATAACACTAAAACGTCTAATAAGATATATTTATTTAACTTTTAGGTCTTTTTAGAAAAAAACAATGTCATCTCTACCTCCCACTACTTTACCAAATCCCCCGGCACCCATCCCCCGTCCAGCAGGGAGGGCAGGGCGCAGTACGCCACGTCGCAGTTCATCGCGTTCTATTAAAAGGAAGAAGTTTGATGATGAGCTTGTAGAGAGCAGTCTTAAAAAGGCTTCTAAACAGAGAGGCGATGTCACTGGATTGGAAAAAGATATTAAAAGAACTTTGGTAAGATAATGGAAAATGATTTATTTTTTCTTTGGTTAATGCATAAAATAAAGATTTGGGGTATATAATGCCATGCTTTTTGTGATCACATACTTACATGTAGGTGGCAGACCCAGGAATGCTCCCAAAATTGGTGGTTTGGTTTAATATGCTTAGTAAGCCTTTCAATAACTAATAAATTGATTTTCCTTTGTCTCGTATTCATTAAAATAATAAAAAATGAAACTGGTTTCAAAAACATAGATCTACAGATGTCACTTTTAATTTTAGCCATTCTGATTACAAAATACAATGTGTAATATTTCTACCTAATATACATGTACAGCGTGTATATAAAATTAATGTTAAAAACCTGCACAATAATTTTATTTCTATTTTTGTGATATGAATTCTACAGCCCACAGGTAAAGGCTCTTCCAGAAAACAGAGGAAAAGCAAGGTCAGTATCATAAGTATGATCAAAATCTACAGTGCTTGTCAAATGTCAAGACATTTGACAAACATTTGAACTTTTTATTTTTTCTTAAACATGAAGACGCACTATAAAAGGCTTAGCTCCTCCTACTTTCCATCTAATTTGCATTTTAGTTTTGCACGTGGAGGCTAAAGAGCTTTGTAATGTTCTTGTATTCCTTTACAATTTTTGTATCCACTATGAATCAAATTTCCTTGTTTGTTCTCGGTAAGATGCGAATTAAAACTTTTAGAACATGTACAGATAATTCAAAATTATGTACTTCAAATTTGAAACTTTCATGAGCGAGTTTGAATTTCGCGAGTTGTGTCAGCGTAAACACGCACGTTAGTTATGATAATATTCTATGTTCTTTTGCTATTTCTTGCACAGGAAACTAGT